GGTTTGGGGAGGTGCGGGGGGGGATTGTGTACCAATGAGGGAGTTTTTCTTTTGCTTTTCAAGGAGAAGAGCAAATGGGGTGGGGAGGGGGGAGGGGGTTTGTTCCGGGAGAAGGGTGCAACAATGAATGAATGGAATCCCAAAATCTCTGTAGATGTTCATTGAAATGAAAAATAAACAACCCAAATTAAAAAAAAAAAAGTAGATGTCATGTGTATGCTGACCACCAAAGAAGAAGAGAATTTGAAATGAGAAATTTAGAATTAAGTTATAGCTATATGACTTTATTATTGAAAAGAATATTTTTAGTTATGTCAAAGATCCTCAAAACTTTTACGTATTTAAATAAATATCTTAGAAAGGAAATGTTAAAAATATGAAGATATTCCATATTGAAAAAAATATTATAGACTGGCATTAAGGACAATATAAATTTACTTGGTGAGGTTTCAACCAAAATTTTTATATATCTAGTGAATTATCTATTTATGCTTTATTGACTATGCAAAAGCAGTTGACTGTGTAGATCATAACAAGTTATGGCTAACATTGAGAAGAATGGGAATCAGAGAGCGCTTAAGTGTGCTATATAAACCTAGACCTAGACCAGGAGGCTGTTGTATGAACAGAGCAAAGGAACATTGTTGTTGTTGTTGTTGATTGCCATCAAGTTGAGCATGACTCATATTGACCCTATGAACAAAAGATCTGAAGCCTTTCTATAACTATTACCATTTCTCAAAGTATATAATTTCCAGAGGCATGCGGTTTAGGAAGTAGATGCCACTCGTGCTTCCAAACCTGTCATAAACTGGTAGTTTCACCACACACTGTCCACCATAGTAACCATAATGGCATTTGACACCCCAATGGCACAAGGTTCAGCATCACAGCAACCCTACATGGTTTAAAATTAAGAAGGGGTAGATCAGGGTTGTATTCTTTCTCCATATCTAGTCAATCTGTATGCTAAGCAAATTATTTAAGAAGTTGGACTCTGTGAAGAGGAAAGTGACATCAGGCTCAGAGGAAGACTCATCAATAACCTGCATTATGCAGATAACACAATTTTGCTTACTCACAGTGAGAAAGACTTGAAATGCTTGTTGCAGATCAAAGAATATAACTTTCAATATGGATTGAATCTCAACATCAAAACAAACAAAGAGTCTTACCATTGGACCAATAGGCAACATCATGTGGGATGTATAAAAAATTGGAAGTGCCCGTAACGTCCTCTTACATGGATCCACAGTTAACATTCTTGATGCTAGCAGTAAGGATATCAGAAAACATACTGTACTGGGAAAGTCTGCAGTTAGGGGCTTCTCCATATTATTGAGGAGTAATGACATCAGTTTGAGGACTAAGGTGTATCTGATTCAGGCCATATTATTTCCGATTATTTGCTATGCATCTGAAAGTTGGACAATAAATAAGGATAACAGAAGAAGAATTGATGTCTTCGAGTTGTAGTGTTGGAGAACAGCACTGAACATTCTATGTATGACCAAAAGAACAAATATGTCTCAGAGATGGTACAGCCAGAGTGCTCTTTGGAGGCAAGGATGATGAGGCTTTGCCTCACATGCTTCAAGCATGTAGCTAGGAGGGGCTATTTCTTGGAAAAGGCTATGATGCTTGGAAAGGTAAAGGGTCAGCAAAGGAGAGGAAGATCCTTGACCAGGTAGATTGACATGGTGAGTGACACAATGGGCTCTAGTGTGTCAGGAAGTGTGAGAATGGATTAGGAAAGAGCAAAGTCGAATTCTGTTATTTATAGAGTCCCTAGGGGCCATACTCAACAGCATCTAACAACACAGTATATTGGGGTTAAGAAACTTACTATTTTATTTTGTAGTAAAGGCATCAATACTGTACTTCTGCCTCTTATAGTGACAATAAAAAATTAACTTAAAACCACTTGAATATATGAAGTAAACCAGATTTTCAAATCTTGCTTTGTAAAGTATGATAATAAAGTTATAAAAAGCTGTTGTTGTTATTGTTGTTGCTATTAGAGGTCTTCAAGTTGAGTATGATTCATAGTGACCCTATGAACAATAGATCTGAACCCTATTCTTTCTTTATAATCTCCAATACTTTTGAGCCCATTGTCATAGATATTTTATCAATTTGTCTCACTGAGGGTCTTCCTTTCCTTCATTGACTCCTCACTTTTTTAAGCTTGATGTTTCTTTCCAAAGAATATTCTCTCCAAACAACATGTCCAAAATACATGAGACAAAGCCTCATCCTTGCCTCCAGCGCGTACTCTGGTTCCACTTTACTCAAGACATAGTTAATTCTGTTCTTTTGGAAATCAATGAGATAGTCAGCTCTCCAACACGACATGAAAATGAATCTATTCTTCTCCTCACATCCTTATTCACTGTCCAGTTCTTAGATGCATAGCAAAGTCATTGGAAAGACTGAGGCTTGAATCAGGCACACCTCAGTCTTTAGACAGACACCTTTGCTCCTCAGTCCTTTGGAGAGGTCTTACACAACAGAGTTTCACAATGCTGTATGCTTCAATCAAGAGTGTTGATTGGATCCAAACAAGAAAAATATTGTTGGCAATTTCATCCTTTTCTTCATCTATCATGATGTTGCCTATTTGCCCAGTGGTGAGGATTTTTGTTTTCATGTTACTGAGACTTAATATATCTTGAAAACTCATCCTTGAGCCTCTGCAGCAAGTACCTCAGGTCCTTTGACCTTTCTGCTAGCAATTCTATGAGACTTTGCAGTGAATTATGGAAACCAAAGATCAAAAGAAAAGTACTAGAAGAGGTAGCTGTTGTTAGAGAAGATGAAGCAATGCAGTGGTTTGGAAAATTGAACATTTGGAGCATCTTCAACCTGCACCTCAGGAACTGCCTTCGTGCTGATTTTTCCAGAAGAAATTAATTCAATTACTAATATTTTATATTAGCAAAACAGAAGTGTTGAAATATATTTTTAAATACTCAACTCTGAATGTATGCAATCATTAATCTAGTGGTAATTTATATAACCAATAAATATATTTGTCTAAATAACAAGTGAATCTATATGTATTTGTGTACATATGTGTTTAGGATGCACACTCGAAATTTTTAGATATATTCTACTATGTTATGTCTTTGTTGTTTGGTCATTGAGCTGCCTGCGATTCATAGTGACACTGACATCTACACAACTATCCTCATTACTCCACTTACTGTATCACCGCATCTGCTCTGGGATCTCCTCTCCTAACTGTTCCTCCACCCTTCCCTTTCAAGCATGATATCGTTCTCCAAGAACTCATCCCTTCTGGCCACAACCACTGCTCATTTATTACAAACATGACCATGGATTTGCAGGAAAGGAAGAAAATGAAAAACCCTAAGTAGGAGAAATTCTCAGAGTTAAGAACACATTGTCATTTCATTCTTAGCTTCTTCCTGCCTCTGACTTTTCATGTAACTGCAGACCCTCAGAAAGAAAGAGGCACACCTGTATAAACAGCCAGGCCTTAAAGGTATGGTTGGTTTACAACCAGCCCAGGTACTATGCACTTTCATATCCCATCTCACATAAACCCCATCAACACCTGAGGGAAAGCGCCAACTAGCCCTAAACCTGAGTAACCTGGCCCAGAGTGCCTATTACTTCCACACCTGGCTTCAATGAGGAAGTAGCAGAATTCAGGCATGACATTTTTCAGAAATGTTTCTTTTCCTTCCTTCAAATTTATAATTCAGTTACTGTTGTTATGTGCTGTCAAGTCACCTGCGACTCACAGTTACCCTATGTACAACAGCTCTGAAGCTTGTTCTGTCCTGAGCTAACCTTATTGTCTGACACACCTACTCCCATTACCTCAATCACTGAGTCAATCCATCTTATCCAGAGTCTTCCTCTCTTACACTCTCCCTCCACCCTACCAAAGAAGAACAGTTACCAAGCATTTCAGAATCCTCTCATTTTGGAAATAATCAGCAAATTTATCTCTAATATAGGCAAGTGATTTTTAAAGCTAACTTTTTAAAAGCACAGGAGCAAGTGAAATATCAGTTCCATTTCTATCAGGTGGTGGTGTTATATACCGTTTCTACAGAACTGAAACTTACCTGACCTTCCAGCGGGTTTTCAGAGACAAATCACAGAGGAGGAAATTGTCTTTCTCCCTTATCACTAGGCTACCAGAAAGGAGTTCTCCTGTGTGATTTAACTGCCTCTGAAAATCTGCTGGTGGCTCAGCTATGGATCAATTCCAATTTGATGATACGCAACAACAACAAAAGGCCATTAGAGCTTCCTTCTTTCAGATATTGACATAAAGAGATATTCATTAAAATAACCAACAAATAAAGCTCCTTCTATGGTGTTGTTAAACAGGAGCTGGTGAATTCGAACCACATATCTTTGGGATTACACAACAGCTTCTTACCCCTAGATCATTAATGCCCCCCTTTTTTTCAGGAGTAGAGAGTTCTATTTGTTGGTTATCTTAATACCTATGCCTCTGTTTCTTGCACTTGAAAAATACAAATAAAAACTTCAAAATTCATCTAGAAAGCCTCTAATACTGTCCTGGCTTGTTTTCAGTTGTGCAATGGATGTTTGTTTGTTTGTTTTGGGGGGGTGTTGTGGGTTTTTTGTTTTGTTTTATTTTGTTTTTGTTTTTAGTGACTGTAAAACGTAGTCACAGTCAATCTGTATCTTTTACTAAAAAGGACCATAAATAACAAGTAATGCACGTCATTTTTCTTCTTCAATAAAATGGATTTATTTCCTCTCAACGTACAGGCTTTTTTTTTGTGCAAATTATTTTGGCTAGCAAACACAAAACTACATGTTCCATTTGAACGTGTAAGGTAGAATCCATTGCACTTACCAAACTATTCCCTGAGCCCCAGAGCCAATTGGCTTTAAATTCTGGTAGCGCTTGAGAACTGTGAAGGTTGAGTCTCCCACTTCCACACTGTAGAACTGGTTGTCAACTTTGCTTTTGCTCATGTTGTAATGTTTGGCAATATATGACACATCCACTTGTTTATCAAATCCCTGTCAAAAGGAGAAAAGGAAAACTTGAGACAAGCGAGCAAAAAGAATGCCAATGAGACGTACAGAAGACTGCTCTTACAATGACCATTAACATTTAGTCAACTGTCGTTGCTACAAAAGCTTTTATTTTCCATAGAAAAATTATACATTTGTTCATATAAAATGAATCAGGGTAAATGAGCTTGGAGGAGGGATGCAAAGATTTTTTTATTGGTTTTTTTTTATTAGAATAGCTTTAGATAAGAGTTATAGAATCTTTCCTGGTATTTTATATACTAACCATATATTGATCCCAAAGCCTATGTTACATATTTTAGGATTCTGATAAGACAGGCATGTGAGCCAAGATCATCCATTAAAATAACCACGTGAAAGGGAGGATAAAAATATATAACTCTTTTAAGGAAAGTAAAAAAAAAAAAACAAAAAACAAAAAGCCACAAACAAACAAAAAAAACCCCCACAAAATAAACAAAGTGGTTTTAGTTAATTTCAAAATGAATAGACTTGATTGCATTTGTTCTCATTTTAAAACAAAAAGTGCCATGGTTTAAATACCAAATTTAGTATTGAAACAAATTAGCCCAAAGTAACATTATTGGAATGTTATTTTTAGGTGCTCCATTCAAGTACAACTCCTAGGTATGTCTTGAACAAAAGATCTGAATCTTATCCTATCCTGTGCTCATTCCCATCCTCTCTGACACACTTGAGCCCATTGCTGCTCCAAAGCACTGAAAAATGGCACATTTATGTATTGTGAAATGCCATCTCTTTATTCTCTGAAACCTTACATTTTAAATAACTCAATTGTTACATATCTTTATATGTAAGAGAAAATTACAAATGAATCATATTTAGCAATTGAATATTTTGTCATTTTAATTTAAATCATTATCTATATAATGTCAATATCCATTAATCACAATTCTTATACAGATACAATGAATGTTGCATTTTTCATATTTATGCTATTTTTGTTGCTGTTATACCATCGAGTACAACTCGCAGTGACCCTGTGAACAGCGGATCTGAAATGCTATAACCTGAGCCGTCTTCATCTCCAAAACAACTACGCCTATTGCTGCATTCACTGTGCCAATCCATCTCTTGAAAGTCTTCTTCTCTTTCACGGATCCTTCACGTTTTCAAGCATGACGTCATTCCTAGGGAATAGCCTCTCCTAACAAGCTGAAAGTATGTGAAACAAAGCTTTGTCGTCCTTGCCTCTTAGAAGCCCTCTGGATGCACTTTCTACATGACATATCTTTTTGTTTTCTGATATTTATGAGATTAGAACGTTTGAATTCTGTAACTAGGAGGAACTAAAATGCAATTGAATGGCTACGCAATAGTCAATCCTTTTTCTTGGTTTTGTTTAACGTTTGAGCACCCATATGCTCTGTGAGCAGCCTTGAAAATGGAATAATTTACACCAATGATTTTCATCTGAGGGACTGTTTACTCTCAAGAGCATTTGGAAAATTTGTGGGTGTCACAATGATACAGAATACAACTCGTACATAGCTTATCAGAGAACATACCTACCCAATTAATGATTTTACACATACTTCACCTCTATGGAATGCCCTGCCAAGTTTTAATTAGTGGAAAAACATGCCTATGTTACAGCCCTAAATCTAAACCGAAGTATTTTTGCAGGATTTTAATATACACTAACTTTTCTGTTACACAATCTGCAAGAAGATATAAAACTTAAACAGACTATGAAGTTTGGGGATAGTCATAACTCAATTTTTCTTAGAAATTGTTGACATTTACATTCTAAAGAAATACTTGAAATAAAAAATTCAATCTAATTTGCTCCTGTGCATCCTTGGGAAGAAATCCAGGCTTCATTAGTAATGTAAATGAAGAAAACACAGCGGGAAACATATGGACATGGGGGACGAAATCCATGAATCCAGGGAAAAGATCTAGAGATTCCAGACAGATTAGACAGACCTGACAGCAGAATGCACATGACAGCCCACGATATGTTCAGATATAGAGACACTAATTCCACATAAAGGCTCAGAGAATGCAAGGATAACCAAATCAAGAACATTTACAAGAAGGGAACGCCCATCTTTCTTCCATTGAGTGCCTAGTGGATTTGAATTGCCGACTCTTGCTTTAGTAGCAAGATACGTAATGACATACTAGGCCAAAATAAAGGGATTGTCAGGGCATCAATTCACTCTATCTGAAAGTTTAAAAGGTTCAAATCTATGAAAAGACTCTAGGAGAAAGAAAGGCTTTACAATCTAATCTCATTTAAAACCTTACAGCATATAGATTTGAGCAGCAAATATTCAGAATCAGCTCAGTAGTAACTAATTGTGTTCTGTTTTATTTTTATAGATTAGGTTGTTAGGTTGTTTAAATAGGAAACTTAAAATGCAGGTATATTTTGACTGTTAATAAGAGGCTAAAAGTGAAGGAGGTTACTATGAAGTCTGGAGCAAGAAACTAAACAAGATGATGTACTAAGAACACTTGCACTAAATATTGTAGCTACAACAGGGTTGAAAATTTAGACATCAACCAGAGCGAGACCATTTGCATTTAAACAACTCTTGATTTGAACCGTGCTATCAGCACTGCTCTCTACACCATGCCCCATTTCTACTTTGGATTTTTCTGACATTATCTGGAGGCCAGGATTAGCAAATCTGTGCTTTTAACATTGAAAAAATAAATGTTTTCAAAATATCTGAAGATCAAAATCAAGTTATTCATCTGTAAATTTTAAGTTGCAGTATAGGAAGTCTTTGATTCTGTTTTTCCTTTCCTTGTTCCACCGTGCTTTTTCCTTATGTCTTACAATATTCTGCTTTTTTGACCAACCACAACTTCTTTAGCACACACTAGCTTTGCCAATCTTTGTTGATTCAAGTTGCTTCCCCCACTTATTCTCTTCACTTTGGAAATATTTATCATGACTACAATGCATGTACATATTAATTGTACAGCATAACCTCTTTGCTCTTAGCACTGCCATTCTCCTGCAAACATGGCTTTTCTCATTATGGCGTCAAAATTTGCATGAAAGATTAATGCACCAGATTGGCCCTTCTTCTTTTCTATCATTGCAATAGTTACATAAATAAATCATTGGGGGTTAACAAGTCGTGACACTCTCTTTCAGGTTACCCAAAGAGATACTCTTCATTGAATGTTTACAAACATTTAATCCCATGAACTCTGATGTTATCATCATTATGCACCAGATAATGGTTTAACACTAGAGATATGACAGGGAGAAAAAGAAAAGTCTGTCAGGCAGGCAGTTCAGTGAGCAAGTATTTAAAATGCTCCTGATATTTTCTATAGTAGAAGAAAGGATAAATTCTAGGAAGAAACAGTAGCAACTCATTGCTTTGCTTGCATTCATTCATTTTTATGAATTTATTCAACCATCTGTATAAAGTAGGCCCTGTGTGAGACAAATGACTAAGGTACTGGATAATCTGAAGTCTGGAGGTTAGCAGTCACATTGGAAGAAAGACCTAATGATCCTCTTTCAGAAAAATCCATCACTGAAAACTCCTCTTTTTTACTCTGCCACACAGAGACTGACTATAGGTTAAGGTGCCATGAGTCAGGTCTCCTTGAATCAGAATCAACTCAAAGGCAGTGGGTTTGAAGTTTTGAAGTTTTAACAGCCAAAGGTGGGTGTTAAGTTGGTAAAGTCTGAGGAAAAATTGGATGTGTTTTATACAGCTAACGCTATCGCCTGACTTCCCTTTCTCTCTGGTTCTCCAATAAGAGAAAACATCTGCTAACTCAAGCCCCAACCTTGGTACTAAGAACAATCATAATATACACAGTGCAGATTCTGAATATCTGGGTGAAAGCCAGCAATAGAGTAATCATTTTTAAAGCATGGTCCCTACAGCATCAATATGATCATGAGCTGGAAATTTTTAGGAAACTAGTATAAATACAATACTAGGGCTCCAGTTCTATTATAAATACAATACTAGGGCTCCAGTTCACATCTATTGTATCCTGAGGGCAGGGCCCCTTAGTCTATTGTAATATGGCCCCTGGCTGGACTCTGATCCATGTCGAGGACCATGCATTAGAGTGGGGGGATGCCCTGGAGACTACGAGACAGCTCATTCAGCTCGGCCTGAGATAGTCAGAAAGTAGACACTTACCATGCAGCAAAAATAATATTTCTGCAGCTGCACCAGGGAACACATTGTGTGGCTGTATGAACTGCCAAATTCCATTGCTCCTGAAAACCAGAGTCCCAGTTAGGGCAAGGATTACCCCACACCTCAGATTCAAGTATTTTGGAGAATCTCACCATAAAATTAAGGTTTACCAAGGCTATATATGCAAAAAGGTCAACAGATAACTAAGTGCTATAATAGAGTAAATAATTTCATTTCATCCCTAAGAACTCACTCCACTCAGAGCCAATTCAAAACTGATCCTCCAGCAAGGTTTCAGAGCCTGTAAATCACATGGGAAGAGACTATCCATCTTTCTTCCACAGAGCAGCTGAAAGATTCAAACCACTTGCCTTTGTGTGGACAGGGCAACTCATTACCTACTATGCAACCCCAGTTTGTAGCTACAAATGGAACTTTTTCTATAATGAGAATGCCACATACATGGTGATATTTTTATATGAACTTGGTGATACTTGTATACGGGGATTAATGCAATCACAAAGTATTATACTGTTATCAACATTTTAGCAACAAGAAAATTCTCAGTCAAATAGGAACACCCTAAAGGTAATAAAATGATATTCTTAATGACATATTGTCAAGTAATTGCATTGCAGTCCCAAAAGCATGTAGTTTGAATCCACCAGCTGCTATATGGGAGAAGGATGTGAAATCTCCTCCTCTGAAATTTAGTGCCTCTGAACACACCGAAGGGTCAGCTACAAGTCAGTTCCAACTCAACAGCACACAACAACAACACATTTAAAAGAAAAACACTATTATTCCTTGATCTTTTGTCTCTATTCCAGAGTT